TGATTAATATTTAATTATTATTAATTTATTAATTTAGAATTGATATTTGGATTTACTCAAGTAAATATTTTGAATTTGTTCAAATATTCAAAAAATCTGATCAAGTTATATTAAATATTGTTAAAATATTCAAGAATATAAACAGGATTATAATACATTTCAATGAATATGAATAATGCTGAACTAAAGATGACTTCTTAACTAGTTGTGACTTGTGATAGACAATCAGAAAATTGCGATAGAGTTATAGTAGCCAATCAGAGAATTATAATAGAATTTTTCAACATCATATTGATTTTTATATTAGATTTTTCATATATAAATAATATAAATTAGCAGTGTAATAAACAAAAAAATTGAAAAACTCAACAAGTTATGATGAAAAAGTAAAGAATTGAATAAAAAAAGGTAGACAAACAAATTTAAATATATAATATATTAAATAAATTATACTCAAATTATTTATTGTGATAAATTCCGAGATATTTGTCAAAAATATTTGTAGCAAAAGTACTAATATATACCAATCCGACAAAGTAACCGGGTTGTTCCTGAATTTACTAATAAAAGTTCATATTTTAATTCTAGAATTTCTGAAAAGTATACGACGAGACGTTTTGATTTTGTTTATATATAAATAAATAAATAAAACATCATTAGCTATAAATTCACGAAATACCCATCCTAAAGTTGATAATAAGATTACCGTATTCTCAGAAATAAATGGAATCTGAAAATGTACCGGTGCTTTAATTAAGGATACTTGAATGAGTTTTTTTAATAGATTTTTCTTTATCAAGTGTTTCATAAGGCAGATGGAAGATTTCGTACATAGAAAAAGAGGTATGTTCTTCTTACAATATTAGAAAGATCATGTAATAAATATTCTATGATTAATGGAATCTGAATTTTGACACTTTTAACCGAAATTGGAGTGGTGCATATTTCGGGAGAATATAGTAATGAGAACTCTTGACAAAGTATGTTTATGTCTATGTTCGTAAAAATTATCACAAACAACTAACAGTTTAGACAAAAATAGCCTAATCCAGTTTACATTAAGTAACTATTTATGTAGAATATGTTTATTTTCTTAAAAATTAGAAATTACTTAATTTAATTTCCTGCCGATTTTATGCGAACGAAATCTTAACCAAAAATCCATTTCAAAAAACTAGGGATTCTTGGGTAAACTAAGGTTTAAAAATTGCGTTCTGATATTCCAAAAGTTTTTTTTTGTGGTACTTCAATTCAAATCATGAGCGTAGCAAATTGAAAAAAAAATATAATTTAATGTCATGGAAACTTGGTAAGAAAATTATTAAACTTCGGTTATAATTTATTGCACACATGAAAAGAAAAGAATCACTTTCTACAAACAATACCGGTTATTTTTCGGCTTATGTTCGGTCACACAATTCGTTAATGAAACGGTTTTTCGATTATATAATGAACAATCTGATTCTATTAATCAAATCGTTAATTGTGTCATCTGTCAAAATTTGTTTATCTTCACATTAGTACATTTGATTATCTAAGAAATTATATTATATTGAAATAACATATTATTTTGCAGTGGAATTTCCACGTTGATTTTAATAATCGAATGTTTTGTTCATACAGCATAAGCGTAATCATTAGCAAGCAATAGAACGAGTAAATAAAAATTCTTTGCTCATCTTCAATTTATCGCCTAATTTTCATATATTAAACTTACGAAGAATATTGTTTATCTTTTGTTGCCTTTAGTCAACTTTGTCAGTTAGAGAACTATAAACATCCAACATTCATTTATATTTCGGTACTAAGCCTTTAGAATGATTATAACACAAAATGTCACTTGATACATATAACAACAAAACTTGCTCTAACTAAATAATGACAAAACTTCATGAATAAATGCCTTATGTGTCGAAGATTCTATAAGATTATACCAAAACTTGTAATATTGTTCCTATAAGCATGTAAATATGCTGCTTAAATCACTATCGAGAAAAAATGAATGGCTTTGACGTCTAAAATATTTTATTTCACGTACACATGTTATTTGTTTTTCGTTACTAATAATGCAAATTATTTTTACAAACAAACAAAAAAATCACACTTTATTTCATCTCAGAACAGACAGAAAATTCTCGTTCAAGAAAAAAAATTATGCAATGCTTATCTTCCCAACTTTTATTATTATTCCCTAACAGGAAACAATTTCTATAAGTAGAAACGTAGATGATGATAAAGTTTTTTAGTAACATTGTTTCTCAAAAATAGCGAAAAACTTCCGCCAACTTTCATTTCTATTAAAGGTTAATAGACAAAGGACAACTTTCTTCTAAGGCATTATCAGCTGATAGAATAATCCAAAAAGTACTTCTAGAATAATTAACTTGGCGTCTTGTGCAGTTTTAAGGATCGCATATTAAAAGTCAGAACGCGAAAATAATGACCAATTGAAATCAGATATCATTGATGCTTTATAATTTTGACGACGTATTGCATTTAATTGGTATCCGCTAAAGGTTTAGACATTTGTGTGTTTGGAAACTTAAAATTTCTAAGTGTAAAATTGTCTCTCGCTCGCTTAACACAAAGTCGGTCCTTTCTTAAATTAAAAAATATATATATAAAAGAAAAATGGTTACACCATCATTACAAAGTATTTACCCGCGCCAACTTACGTAAGAATAAATTAAAAAAAAACAAAAATTTCCAATGATCACCTTTATTCGATCTAATTGGTGTTCTTGGATTTTGTGCGTGTTCAAATAACGAAATTTAATTTGAAGTTTTTTCAAATTTCTGATCGCTTACGAAATTGGTTCTGTTGAGAATCTTTTTTGATGAGAAACAAAAATTTTTGTAGAATGCAGTTTCTTGTGCTTTATTTATTCTTAACATGCTTGTACACACTTATTCGTACTCTTAGTAATAGTAGGTTGTTATCTCATTAAGATCTCAAAGATAATACAAAAGCTACGTTCTAATGCATCATGCAGCAGATAATCTTTGTCAAACACGGATATCTCACTAGACAATTGAAGTTCTGTGAATGATGAACAAGTGTATTATGAATGAACAAGTCTCATTGTTCGCACAACTTGGCATCAATCAAACATAAAATTAATAATAACATAATATGCTACAGCATCTGACAATAATAATAATAATAATATAGTAAAATCACACTTTAGCACGTACTGTATTAACATAATAAATAGTCGTTTATAATAATAATAGTCGTTTTAATATAATAATAGTAGTAAGTATTGTCACTCCCACGCCGCCGTCAAATAGTAGTGGTCTGATAATTTGTCTGGATGTTCGGGTACCTTTTAAATTTTCATTTCGTACGCGCTGTTGTCAATCAGGGGAGAGGTGAATCTTTCGTTTATCATTTTTCATACATGTGTGCGCTGTAAAAGGAGTAGTTATTTGATTAAATTTTTGCTCACGTGTTTGCTGGAAAAAGTGTTCATATGAATATATATTTAATATAATTATTCCATGTGCCTGCGATCCCAAGTCTACAAGAGAACCGGATAAAATGAACGAATTAATTTAATTAGTTGTCTTTGGTTGTAAGTAAACACATTTATTTTGTTTATTTATTTATTCTCACACACAAACACACACACACACACATCATTGAATGCATGTTTTTGTTTTCGATCTTTTTTTCGAATCTTTTGTCGATTGTACAAAAGAAAAAAATTCGATTGGTTCTTCATCCAATTTTAATATTCTCCATATCGCTTACATGAAATTCAAATATTTTTCCTTCTTTTTACAGTTACGTAAATGCTTGTATTAGACGTCAAAAAAAAAATATTGCAGAAATCACGTCTGTGCGTATGTTTGTGTTTTGCGATTTTGTTGATTAGTACGAGCAGACGTGTTATCGCTATGCGCATTTTCCTTGATTGGTTATCATAAAACTCTTGTGATGAAAGGAATTGATTTTATTAATTGCACCAACTTGTGATGATTGGTTGGTTACGCAAAAAACTGATGCAATAAATTTAAATTTTTGATTTGGTAAAATTACAATCATCATTAAAATTAACGTTTAATGCACATCATATATGTCTCTACAATATCATGTCTTTACCCACGCCCGGACCACGTTGAAAGTCACAATACAAACCCCTTACCTTACCCCGCATATAAAATGAAATTAATGACCGAGAGAAAAATACTTGGCATCATGCCTTGTATCAGTGAAAGAAAAACAGTGCTCATGTTTTATTTATGCTGATGATCACACTAACCCTAAAACATGGTAAACGTTTCCATTTATGCTGTTGATCACACTAACCCTAAAAACATGGTTAACGCTTCCATTATTGTCTGCCTTGTTGATAGAGGAAGAATTGGCGTAGTCTCACTTATTGATGAAAACTTGACTGAACTTGATTTTCTCTACAGACAGGGGAAATGCACGTACTTTTCAGCCCTTCATTTCATATACGGAAAAATTGAATTTTAAGCATTTCACGTGTACCCATGTTCTATCACAATTAATTGCAAAAAAAAATCCTTTTTTTTTGATGTTTCAAATGGCTCATTTTTTATTTTGTTTTCGTAGTTCATTTTTTTAATTTATAAATGACATTTTAGCTTAATTATTTCATGTTTCAGATGTTGTGATGATTTTGTCTTAAGGTATAGCGAAAAATCTTGTAATGTCACAATTAAGAAAAAATTAACTAATTTACTCGTGCATTTTTTTGGTTTTGGTGGTGATGCAGTTTTTTGTGTTACGAGAGAAGGGAAAAGATTATCATAAAAAAAAATATTACTCGTTCTTTGTATCGATGCCAAATTAACTATCTAAAAAAGAAAAAAAAAGGAAAAAAGAAAATATGAAGTTTTTTTCTACAAATTATCTACAAAAAGCAGGTTTATTAACTGCTTCAATTGATTATGTATGCATTACGAAAAAAAAAATAAAAAAGTCCCACGTTTGAAGAATTTTTATGCAGTCGTCATTTGAAAACCTCGATTCACGCGGTGATCTTCCTGCTTAACCAAGATTGTATTCAACGATGTTTGCGGGAGCGGAGGATACATCTGGTTAACAGACTCTTTTTGTCGTATTAACTGATGTTGATCCGAATTTTGAACTCGATTCTGATTGTTGTTATCATAATTATCATGATGAGGAGGATAGTGATTCTGATGATGATAATTTTGATACGCGTTAGTTTGCTCGTATCCATTAAATGTTGGCGGTGGCCGTGATTTCGTATAATCTTCATCGTGATTACTTATCGGTGATATTGAACGTTTCCATTCAATGTCTTCGTTTTTATAATTTGGCTCTTCATCACTACTGATCGCTGATGAAATTGGCGAAGGGGTGTGTAAAGAAGCGCGCGAGGAATGCCTATTTTGCGCATTATTCCGTTGCGAACGGGAATATGGTTGATAACCATGTCGTCGATAATTATCATGTGGTGAAGGAGATGCTGATCTTCCATCATTATTGTTATTATTATTATTATTATGATTATTAGGTGCAGACCAGGTATCCGGCACGTTCTGATAATTATGTTCGATTGAAGCTTTTTTCGTCTGATGATAGAAATGTGTAGTAGTAGTAGGAGTTGGTGACTCGTTTGTGTAGATCTTGTTTTTTGCTACGTTAACCGGTGATGTTCCATTAAAAGTAGACATTGCACAACTATTTCGACCTAGATTACCAGCAGCAGCTGCATTCATGCCATTTGATAATGTTTTGGCAGATATATCAGGCGATGCGTCAGAATCACCCGATGTAATGGACCCTGTTTTAGGTGAGAGATTGCCATTCTGTTGCCTTAATTTCTCAACTTCGGATTCTAGATTCTGAATATAACGTACAGCTATTGTCATTGAAAAAAAAAATTTCTGTTATGAACAATATTCACTGATTATATCGAGAAAAAGAGGAGGCTATCTATAAATGGAATTGTGCATTACATCCTAGCATGGCGTGCCATTGTCATGATAAGAACATTTTTCCAGAAAGGAACATTATCACAAAATTGCACATCCCAAATCACATAAAAAGTAATTATTGGATAATCCAAGCTGCAATTGTTCCATCATTGTTCCATTTCCCCACAATTCCGGATTTTTAAGTTATGCACGATGATTAAATGTATAATAATAAATAATAAATAAATTACCTTTTCTAAGAATCACAGCCTTTGAATCGGCATGACCGCGACAAGTGGGTACGATATTTTTTAATTCCTCAAATCCAGAATTAATATTTTCTCGTCTTTTTTGTTCTGATAGAATGTGAGCTAACCGACGGTTCGGTGTTTGCGAGTGTGTGTGAGTTGGTGGTGCGGGAACGTTGAGATGTTGATGTTGATTTGGAATTGGATGATGATGGTGCTGTGGTGGTGGTGGTTGCTGAGATAACAAAGGAGTCTGATTTTGACGATACGTCGCTGATTGAACATGATGATTATGCTGATGAGGATGCTGCTGATGTAAAGCATCGTTATGTTGCGGTATTAACGATTGTTGTCGTTGTCGTTGTTGTTGTAGCGATGAATTATTCAAAATTCCATTACAATTGGGATGATGATATGGCTGCTGATGATTTGTCGATTCAAGTTTATATGAGATAGACGGTAAATTATTATCTCCTTTATATAATGATTCTTGCGGTGTGTTATTATTGTTGTGGTTGTTTCTATTGGCAAGATTATTATAATTGTATTTTGTTGATTGATAATACATCTGTTCTTGTCTATTGTTAGCTGATGAAGGTGGCGACGATGAGTTTGATTTTAGAGTATTTCCCGTCGAAATTGGATTACTAGAAGGTAAGTGAGGGAGATTAGGCGGGTAGACTCGAAATAGGAAAAATTTAATGAAAAACCCAATTCATACCTCAACAATTGTACGATATCCATGATCGTAGGATTTTTTCAATTGCAATTGCAGGGGTGTTCTACTACTATTATTCTATCTCTTAGTACTGTTCTAATTGGTATATGTTCAAATATCGAATAGGCGAGTATAAAATAAAAGTCTTCCCTCAAACTAATATTTAACGGTAGTTTTGGGAAAAAAAGAGGACACAAGAAGAAAAATGACAACACGAAAATTGTTATTTTTGGAACGAAGATTCAAGAAGACACGTATCGTGTGCACTTTTTATATTTATGGGCAAATAAAATAGGAGGGCACTGAATAGTTGAAGTAATATATATACACGCACATATATATATATATATATATATATATATATAGATGGATAGATATAGATATATTAGATAATATCAAAATATATTATATATATGGTTATTTGTTATTATTTGTTATTGTTTTTTGTTTCATTTAAATCAAAAGTGTTATTAGTGATGATTGGGTGATGATTAAATCCTCCTTTGAAAAATTACTACTAGAGTAGTCACCGAAAAAATGCGTGCTTTGTTGTTGTCGTATTTGCGGGGAAAGAGAATAATATAAGAGAAAAAGATTATTGACAAGAAAAAGAATGTTTTTTAATATATATGCGTGCGGGTAAGTGTACCTTGTATGTTAGATGTGCTTATATTTATTTTTTTTGTTCGTGCAAAAAGGAGAAGAATAATGCGAAAATTGCGAATCACACTGATATTTATTTTTAATTTTTCGCTATAACCTAATTAAATGGAAGCGTGTTGGATTGATTAAAGTGAGTTGAATCGACTGAATAATATAATTAATTAATTCGCTGCTTCTTAATACAAGATCGAAACCTAAAATTTTTGAATGGCTGAAATTGATACCAGTTACTGTATGTATAGTATATATGAATTTAAAATGATTATAATTGGATTATATAAAGTATATGCGAAATTATTAAGATACAAAACGATAAATGCCGCCTTTGTTGCTGCACAAAGTGCATGTGTGTGCCTGTGTATGTGTGATAAGTGAATAGCAGACGAGCTATCGTGATAGTGTAATAATGGTCTAGTTCAATTATTCTTTACTCGCTAATCTTTTTTGTTCGTTCATCTTACGCCCGTTTTCCTTTGAAAATTTCCGTTTTTTCGGAGAACCTCGAAATTCTACTATCGTCTTGATTATTTGAACGTGGATCATTCACTTTCGAATACTAATTTTGATTTAAGCAAAAAAACAAAACGTGAAAAAATTGCGGGGAAATTCGCATCATATTTAACTATGAATCATTTTTGGCTTTAACCATCAAAATTAATGGAAGGGATAGTATGAAGAGGGATTGAAAACGAGTTCCCCACTTTTGACTTACCGAACGGGAATAAATTCTGAGTGAATCCAGGATTACAAAGCGTTGAGGAGCTTTGAGCCGATTAAATGAATTACAAACAAAAAAACACCATCCTGAAATTAATTTGGCTGGAGACCATACGTGTTCAGTATTTGGGTCAGGACGTAACATAAGGTAGTGTAAGTAGAATGAATCTACCAGTTAGTCATAAACGTGCGCGCGCGATATTAACAGTGTATAAATACTTCCACTACTTTAATATTTGCATGCACATGCATTATATATTTTTTTGCTTTTCCCTCTTTCTTTCTTTACTTCCTTCCTTTATATGAATTCCCACTTTGAATAAACATATATATTGTGTAGATATTTATGTTTATTTATCTATTAATATGTATAAATTAATATATTTATTTATATATATTTATATATATCGTGTATATTAAAAATTATAATTATTTTTTTTTTAATGTCAAAACTTTATACTATTATAAGTATACTCATATTATTTGTAAAAAAAAAAGAATATATTAAAAAACTGACCAAAAACAAACAGAGAAGATGAGTGAGAAAAATAAATACGTACGAGAAAAAACAAACGATATAAGATTTTTTTATACAATTGGGATATGTATTCGGGCTAGCGCACCACATAAACGGGAGTGTGCATCAAATTTTTTATCTTATTACAATGATGACATTTCCCTTGATAAAATGCGGTTATGCACATCTTTCCTTCCTTTCATACAGAGTATGCTATCGACACGATTTATTAAAATTTTTTAATTAAAAGATAAAAAAACGCTCATAGAATAGATAAAAAAATGCAAGCAAACGCGAGAAAAGCATATTAATTTATTCTTTTTTTTCTCTTCATTGCATCACGGGGATTCGCCAGCTTACCGTTTTGATAATAACAATACGGTAGATGAACATCATAATAATAAAGCATAAAAAACACACATGAGTAAAGATCTTCAAAAAAATTGTTTCGGCAGCGAAACAAAGAAGAATCTTCCTTTGCGAGCTTTCTTTTCATAATGTTACATAGCTATTTATCGGGTTTGCATGTGTGTATGTGTGTGACTATGATAATGATTCCATAGATGGCAATAACAAGAGATTCCTTGGGCGGTATTAATAAGACTGAAAGGACTGGATAGAGGGAGTGAGAGATAGAAAATTAAAAATAGAAACGGAATAATTTTGCATAAATGAATTGCAAAAATTGGGATTCGCGCGCGGTATTATCTATCTGGTGATAAATGAATGATATGCTGTGATTTTATTAATGGAAGGGGGTTTTTTTAATGTAACGATGAAAATCACGATTTTGATCGTCACTGCGAAAATTTTTTTCACCAGTACCGCATTTATTTTTCTTTTAAAGGGAAAAAAGAGAATTGTTTATACGCATCGTATTATATCATCAATAACGATAAACTTTTTCTTTTCGATGAAACACGTCACACAAATAGTTTCATCTATTCAACAAAAACAGGTATACATGTATCTGATATGCACTACACAATCACAACTCGTAATTTCGGCGTTAATTTCCAATTTTCCTATTCGTCAACCATTTTTTTTTCTCACTTGGAAATTCGTCAACTTTTTGTTCTTACCCATAATACATCTCTATCATTACACTTCGGGTTCAAAACTTGAATCTGGGTTACACTTTTTATTAAAGGACAAAAACATTGTTATCAATCTATTTTAAGTTTACACACGTGTCATGCAATGATCATCTTCATGATACGTCAGACGTTGGTCATTCCGAAAAATTAATTTTTAGGCTCAATGGGAGAAAAAGACCCAAAAGATTGTCTTAACAATTATAGCTTGAAAATTGGGTGTCGGGTAAAGATCTAAGCTACCGCTGCTGCCGATACCTTATTCGATTAAACTGAGCAAATTACAAGAAAAAAATATCATCCGAACTCAACTCTTTATTGGATAAATCGGGTCAGTAACAAACATCATCATCCAAATAGATGCTATTTGTTTTGACTTCGTCCGATGAAGTACATTTAAGTTCGTGAGACAATGTGATATTTGTGAGACAATGTGATATGTGCCATCGATCACTTTTCTTTTTGAAAAAACTATCCAAGTTGATTCTAGTATTTCTTTTTAAAAAAAGTAAGGTCATGCAATAATCTAAAATCACGATCGAAAATATACTAAAATAAGTATGCGAACTTTATATTAAAATCTATGACGACAAAAGCGTAAAACGTTTGATTATATAAAAAATTTCTCGATTTAACGAGATAATATTAAACGTGTCATGCCTATTGTTCTATTTACACGTGTTGAGCTTATTTGAATTTTTAAGATAATATGATTCAATAATGTATAGTCATATTATTAACGTCAAGTAAGGAAAGCGACCACTAAAATTGATCATCCATCTGATTTTAGATAGATACTACGGAACATCGAATGTTACCACAGAAATATGCACACATGCAAGCAAGATTTTCATATTTGGAATTTAATTTCTAAAGTAACCTTTTTTTTTCTCATCTGAATATGGAGAAAAAGAGATTTACTGGCATTTATTTGGGTCTTGAGTTGGGAATATGTGTCAACAAGGATCGCAAACTGGCAAACAGGGCAAAACACCAGCCAGCCCGATTATTACTAAAAAAAACAAACAAATTGCTAATCAAAAATACCGAGCCAGAAATATAAGTCTTAACGATTTAATTGAGACCAAGATCTTTACTAAACATGTTGTCTTGAGGGCATAAAAGGTGTCATGTATTTTCTGCAAGAAAACGAAAATCTGATATTCACATGCTGAGAAAATATGATTGATGCATGTTTCAAAAAAATCACTGTTTTGAATCCTTTGGCTCTAGAGTATTTCTTGGCTCTATCGAATAATAATTGCATTTACAAATCATTATTGAAATTAAAAATTTTTTTCAACCATGCTGACAATTTAAGTTTGACCGTGACAAGCATAATTTCAGTAAAACAACTTTATATTATCATGAGCACGGAGATTTTCGAGTTTTACGATTGGTTGTCGTCTATTTGTTTTTTTGAATAAAATAAATTTACGTAACACAGCATGTTTGTGTTTCAATGTGTTCAAAACTACGACGACGACGATCTTTGGGTGATTATCATCAATTCCCGTATCGGTATTGCAAATAATTATTTCGAGTGTTCATTTTTTGGTTGTAACCTTATCATAGATATGCACGGAGAGATATCTATAAAATTTCTGCGCGATAACGTCGACATAAATTATTATATATGTTGTTTTCATTTACAGCAAATAGGAGGTATAATTAGACAACAAAGGAACGCTCAATTTTATCCTTGCTGGTTGCCTTTCATTTCATTGGGTTTGCGGGGTAATGTTTATGTGTATTATTGTTTAAAAACATGCATTTACTATATGTATGAATCGATATCTGCCAATAACACTATTAAATTTCGATTAGTTTATTTAATAAAATAATGTTTAGCGTTTCACTAATTTTGTTTGTGCTGAATTCCGTATAATGTGCTGTTTTGTTACATGAGTACAGAATTCATGAGACGACAAAGTTTATGAATAAAAAATGGCTGAACTTCCGTCTGGATTTACATATCCTTTGTTTTTTTTTCCTATTAAAAAAAAGTTAAACACGAGAATATATTTTGAAAATT